ACATCTTAAGCCTCCGTGTTCCGGACTAACCCACCTGCGTGTTATGCTTGCCTTAGTTTACGTCATCGTCGACCACCAGAAATGTCGGTCACAGGACCGCTCAGCGGCAGTCAATAAAAATGAAGAATGCTAAAACGGAGGCACGCGACAGAACGACAAATAGCTGCTGGTCATCAAAGGCGTTCAGGTTTTCAGCTAAAAACTAGCTCAAAAATTAAACAACCACAGGAAACAATAAATTTCAGTTTCTCCCGACGACCGTTGTGTTATGTCTGCTAAACACTGTGTGTCTTCCGAACAATCTTACTGCGAAGACGTAATTCTGTAAAGACAGCGCATCCGATAATTACCAAACAGAACCTGTCAAAAGAAACAGATGCGCCACATGACTCTGCCATGTTCATCCAGAAGGCTACCAAAATGGCGCTAAGCCGCGACAGAGCACGTGGTAGGCCAGTGAAAAACGGATATAAAGCATGTCAGCACGCTGCCAAATCCGTCTCAAGTCACTTTTCAGAGCCAAAGACCACGAACCAACAACTGATCATTGTGATCGCACAGTACCGAAACGTCAGATGGACTATATTGCGATACTATGCTATGGCTGCCAGTGTTTAACGCTGGTCATTTCATGCACTGGCCATGGCGCCATGTAATGTTGCCGTCGAAAGAACCTTCAGCCAGTACATGCATCACCAATAAAAACCAGAATTGCTCATACACATAAACTGCAATCGTGAAAGCGCTAGAACTGAATATCTGACAGGAAGCACAGAAGGACAGGATTAATGAACAGCAAAATAACACAAAAAAGTCTATCAGCAAAGGAATACGCAATGTCGACTGGTCTTCACGTAAGATAAAGGTGTCCCTCTATCCGAAAACAACGAAAGAAATTATAGATATCGCCGATGGCCTTTCTGAGAACCTCGTACGAACCGACAAACGACGGGACTCAAACCGCTCAAAACACCTTTACAACAATGTATGGATCATTTCCGAAGATTAGCAATTCTTCGAAGCGAAAAACGTAACTCAGAAATGAGAGGAGAGCAGCCGTGAATCAATCACTTTATTAAATCGATTTGCTTTAGCAAGCACAAAGCAGCGCTGAATCACGTCTCTGCGGTACAGCGCTACGTTGTCATCGTCATCGCTGTTTGAAAAGAGCTAGTAGCACTGGTCAGACAGCTGGTTACCCAGGAGCATGTCATTTGCGTCGAGCCATTATCAATAGACAGTCATAAAATTTCTAAGAAACTGCAAAAAAGCAGCCTCTCTGCCAAACATTGACGACAATCAAGCAAACAATCATAAATGCTCATGCAGCAGTTCGTCCAAACATTTCGCACG